CGCCACTTGGCGATTTTGTAATCCATTATGTACAAGATTTTGTACATCTAGATAAATCCTTATATTTTTAATTAGACACAAATTAAAAAAATCCTCAAGTCAATATGGTGGTTGTCAACGAAATTACCTAGCACCATCCTCCTTCAATACGTGTCCATTCAAATTTGTTGAAGCAACCGCGTCCCCTTGTATCCAATCCAATTCACTCGTCTAAACCCTCACAAAAGTTAGTCACTTTCCGCGTCCTATTTCTGCTACACTACGGCGCCGTTTCTTACCAATTCACCCTTTCCCATTCCCATTTCTCTATATATACACTTCTTATCCCACTTGTTCTCTCATATCATTATACCCACAAATCTCAACCCTTATACAAATTCTTCTTTCTGTACAATGGGAGAGACCAGACAGCCACAACTTAACGGAGCCTATTACGGCCCTTCAATTCCACCGCCGTCCAAGTCTTACCACCGCCCAGGCCGCGGCGGCGGTGGCTGCTGCTGCAACCCCTTCAGTTGCTGCTGTAGTTGCATAGCCAATTGTATTTGTACCTGCTTATGCCAAATCGTTTTCACCATTCTCTTTATTGTTGGCATAATTGTTTTGATCTGCTGGCTTGTTTTCCGCCCCAACCCCGTTAAATTCTACGCCACTGATGCCTCTCTGACGGAATTCAATTACGATAAAAACACGCTGCACTACAATTTGGCGCTCAATTTTACGATCCGAAACCCTAACAAGCGAATTGGAATTTACTACGATCGGATCGAAGCAAGGGCCTTGTATGAAGGCCAGAGGTTTGATAGTGTTCCATTGCAACCGTTTTATCAAGGCCATAAAAGTACCAATTCGTTGAGGGCGGAATTCCGAGGGCAAAGGGTTGTTTTACTCGGAAATAGAGAGATTTCGAACTATAATAATGACAGGAATTCTGGCACGTTTGATATTGAAGTAATGCTCTACCTGCGGATTAGGATGAAATTCGGATTTGTGAAATCGACAAGAGTGAAGCCGAATATCGAGTGCGATTTGAAGATTCCTCTACGTTCCAACGGCACATCACCTGGAACTTACGAATCGAAACGTTGCGATTTCGATTGGCGTTGATTTTTATCCGGGTTTTCATCGATCTACGCACTTTCTTGTGCTTTTGTTGAGTATCTGTTTCTTCATTGATTACTGTTCTTTTGATTATTTAGTATATGATACAGTTTATTATTGTTTATCAGTTCTGGATTTCTGGTTTTAGAACTATATTTCGGAGGATCATTGATTCTGATTATGTGTTTATGTAAATAAATAATGAGTTTATATTTCTCTGTTCATCTTCTCGAATATTTTTTCATTAAGGGAGAGACAATGTCAGACTAAATTGCCCGTTACCTGCAGCAGAATAGGACAAAACGGTAACGTATTAGTTTGCTAAAGGAAAAGCAAAGTGGACCCCAGATTTGATATCCGGTAACTTTAATTCGAATTTCAAATTGCATACGGCCGTTGACACAGTCCCTATTGGACGTAATTCAAACGTCACACCGGATAGAAGGGTTTTGCTTGGGTGTACAGATAGAGGGGTTCAAGAGAGCCCCGCAGACACTCACATGAGTCATGACACCTCAATAAAAAATAATAATAATAATTGAGTTACGTTACATGCACAAAGTTGATTGACAAAATAACATNTTAAAAACAGATTTTTAAATTATTTCAAATCAATGGTCTGAATTTTGTCAACCCACTTTGTAACTCAACTTTTGTAACTCAACTTTATACAAATAGTTTTATTGATAATAATTTCACACCCCCTCTCATGTGAGTGTCTGCGGGGATTTTGTTGAACCCCCATCTGTACACCAAGCAAAATTTGGATAGAAAATTACCCCAAATCAAAATAAAATAAATAAAATCATTATTTTTTTTATTTTTTTTTACGTTTAATTGGGAGTATGAAATTTACATAAAAAGAAAATAAATTCCAAATAATTCAGTTGATTAAAACTTATTTGTACGTAAGTTATTAATTAAATGTGTTTGATTAATTTAATTTTAATTAAGAAAATACTATATTTGTTCATTTTTTAAAAAAATGGTGGGTGGATGAAAGAGTGGAGATAGATGAGAGAGAAAGAGAGGAAAATACCCGAAGAATAAATATCACCATTCCCTAAAAAAAAAAAAAAATCTTATTTTTGAAGAAACTAGGGTCACATGGCCAAAAGTTGAAAAATATTTTTCATGTTAAAAATTGTAAATCAAACACCTCAATATAGAAATTTGGATAGAAAATTGATATTTTTCATAGAAAATCAAGCACATTTTTATATGAAATAATTGTTGTGCCACTTTACAGGTGTCATTAATTAATTGTTGCACAAATTAGACAATTTCTCGCACAAGAGATATGATCGTTTGACAGAACTTTTAAAAAAATGAAAAAAATATTCTTCAATAATATTCAAAAAGTATTTTGTCTAATAAAAAAAAATTTATAGGAAGACTGACCGAAGATAAAACCAATCGTGCATCATGTACCCACCGACAACTCACACATGAAAGGGGTGGGTAATTGTTTTTTACTTATTGAGTTGGGTCCCACGTCGGACCCACGTCACGTGATAGGGTGTAGGGGGCACAAAGGGCTTAATCCACGATCGAACATCACAGATTTCAAGAAAATATTATTGCATTCATATTTGTCTTAGTCAATCCTGTAATGATAATGGAATGATTAAATGTATGAATCTCTGTTACGAGCTTATAGGTTGAAATAGTGAAAAAGTAGTTATGGCTTGTTCTAGTAATGGAGGTTGTTTTATGGGATCATGGCACCACGTTTCATTCCACGGCTTCATGCTCCTAGTTTCGGTTGTATTTATCACTATTGTCAATGCAAATAGGCGAGAAGAAATTTTTGACATTTTTATGTTTTTGGAGGTTTGAGTTCTTTGAAAATTCAAATTGAAGACCCAAATTTTCTACAATTAACCAATATTTTCTTATATTTTCTATTAGTCGCTTTGAATAATTCACGTTTGTATCAATCTCTCAGTCTTCTCATAGCGGAATAAGATCTACTAACTTACTTAAGGCTTGTTTGACAGAATTTTTGTGAAGTAAAAGCTGTTTCTGAAATCTAATAAAATATACTTTTGGATATGTTTGAATCATCTTTTTAAATTATATTGTCTGATTAGAAAATGTTTTAAAAGTTGTTAGCCCAAGTTGATTTGACAAGAAGCGGAAGTTAATCTAAATAAGTTGTCACACTACTTGTGGGCAATTGTTTCGAGGAAGGTTCAGTGCTTGTGTCGAATAAGTTAAAAAGTTGATATCAAAGTCATTAATTATATTTTAATCATACATTTTATTAAATTCATAATTTTTTAACAAAACATTTCATTAACTTTTATCAAAATTTACTAAATTTTCTTTCAAGAACTTTATCAAACAACCCCTCAATGTGTTTTTACTATTGTGGGACATTTTTGACGATATTGTATCAACCTTGGTATCGCCCAACTAAAATTTTGATGAATTTGAAAAATGTTTCTAATTAATGCCAAAATCTCTTAAAATAAATGTACACAAGGACCACTACATCTTTTAACGTAGTTGTTTTGCTCCCCGGGGCATAGTTCAGTGGTGCAAAGGATATAAGTGAGGTAGTCTCAGCTGAGCTGGCAGCCGCAGTGTGAGAGTTCGATTTCTGCCTCTTACAAGGTATGTAATTTTATTTTTTGTGGGTACCAGTATGACAGCTCTTGTACCCTGACCTGATGAGGCACGTCCCGTGATTTACCTCCTTCACGATACTCTAGGGGCAGGGCGGTGGGGGGCCCTCAAGGTTGGGGTTCAACATTTTTTTAACGTAGTTGTTTCGTGTAAACTTTTTAATTAATGCCTAAATCATACTGAACTTTGGAGATATTATTTAGGTTAATCAAATTAAATGACATAATCTTGTTTGACCCACATTAGTACCAACGTGATTAAGATTGGTGACTAAACTCTTGAAAACAAATTATTCTAAGAGAGCAACTTTTGACTTTTTCATTAACAATGACTTCATCGCTCAATAGAGTCGAATTTGTCATCATTTATAATTGAAATTTTGACTTATATGAAATGACATTTCCGTCATATTTATATTACGAAATTTGCTATAAAGTGCCAAGTGTTAAGGGTCTATTTGGCAAANACTTATATGAAATGACTTTTCCGTCTTATTAATATTACGAAATTTGCTATAAAGTGCCAGGTGTTAAGGGTCTATTGGGCAATTTTTAGTTCGACAATTTAACCTCAAATTGGCTTGTACAAATCATTATCTTATACGCGTAACGTAAGAAGATATCATTGACAAAGAAATATGAATAAATATATGTTAAGTTGGAATTAAATACAATATTAATAATTTTAAATTGAAAATATCTTATAAATGATAATGGTTTACTACGCCAGTCTAAATAAATAAATTTAAAATTTTAATATAATCCCATGGCCCGCCCCATTTTTGAGAAATCAGGCCACCGGGGGGGTTGGGGATATTGGGGGCTTAGGTAACAGAGGGGAAGTGACGATGTAGGTTTGGAGATGGTAGTTGCTTTTTTATTTTTCAAATCTGTGAATGTGAAATATATTGATCAAAACCATGTACAAGTATATCGGACATTCCCGAGCAATCACAAATTAAGTATGCATAAAAGTACACCGGACATACCCTGACAATCAAAATGAAAGATGTACAAATGATAAGATATAGCGACCTAATGCCATAGACTCATATTGAATCAAAACATTCGGATACAAAGAAAACATAACTTTGTATACATGTATTTTGATCCGTCTAACAACGCAATCAACTTGCGGTCTAAGATCCTAAAAATTTTTCCGGCTTCATGCCGTCCATAATGGGAAACGGTACTAGTAAGTGCAATCCACTTCACCTTACTATGCCAAGATGTGTCTCGAGCCTCCTTCTTGATCCATTTAAATGCACTTGGTAATGTAATGTAGACATAGATCGCCTAATGCCAAGCCAAACTCTAATCTTTTGCCAAAGGAAGCACTAAAATGACAAGTGAAGAAGAGATGTTGCACCGTCTCATTACCAATGCCACAAAAACAGCATACTTGATCTATCTCAATATGCATAAGCTTGAACTTGGTAAACAATTTGGGCTTAGCTCCTAGCCATAAGATGAATGCATGCTTCGAGGTGATGGAAGCATTCTAAATAGTTGCAGCCTATACTACTTTTGGCCCCTTCAACCTGAAAAAATCATATGCCACTACAATTCTAAATCTACCATTGATGACCTAACTGTCCAGCGTTCGTGTGCTAGCTCATGCAAGATCAGCTAGGCTGGTTGAAAGCAACTTGGTGCATGTGTCCATCTGCCAGCTGGACTTGAGGCTATGCAATTTGCCCAGAAACTTCCAACAACTCTTTAAACAATGGAGAATCATCTTTGTTTGCAGAATATTCCTAGATTTCAGTCCCACGCAGGAAAAATTGGTTCATCCACCTATCCCAAAGAGTATCCTTCTTGCTATGAATGTTCCAAAGGGTTTTAGCAAGTAGTGCTAAGTTTCAACATTTGATGTCTCTAAACCCAAGTCCACCATCATGTTTCGGCAAGCAAACACTACTCCAAGCTACCAATGGCTTCTTAGATCCCCAAAGGATATTACGACAAATAGTAACAATCTTAGAAACAACCGTGGCTGGGATGGGTAGTACGAAAAGCTAAAAACATTCAACACCTTGGATGACGGCTCTTACAAGCTTCGCTGTCCTCGCATAGGACAAGGAGATCCTAGACCATTCTCCAATGAGTCCTAAGATTTTGTTGATAAAAGCATCATATAAGCTAACTTTCGATTTTTTCGCCGCAAGTGGAATTTCCAAATAACGAAATGGCATCTAACCTTTAGCCATATTAGTTAATTGGTAAATGTCCTCCAATTCTTGTCCATGCACACCCACCTTATACAAGTTAGACTTGTTCACATTCATCCCGACATGTCTCCAAAATTAGATAGGCACTTCACCATGATTTCAACCGAGACGATATCTCTCATTGTAAATAACATCAAGTCATCAG